GTAGGCACAATCCTATCGTAATGCATCGCTGGACAGTGGGAACCAGGAATTACATATTACTAAGTTTTAACCCAGACATAATTCTTCTACCAAAAATAAAATGCTATACAATTATGTTTCATTCTATACACACTTATTTATTTATATCTTAAGAATAATGTAATTTAATAATACTCCCACTCGCCTTGTATTTTTGTCTGGGTATATCCGGAATATACTTGACATGACCTGATGTCTCAAATGTTTTACATACATGTTAAAAGTGTTAATTTTCAAGAAGATAAACAAAAATATTAACAAAATCCATTCATTATAAAGCTAGCATGGAAGGAAAATTATAGATGTTGTCTCAGCAATGGAAGGTAATATTAGATTTCAACAAAGTTTGCAACACAGATGTTTTATTGTGAATATGGTTCTGCTTTCACACACTATAAAGAAATCCATTATTGTTACTTGTCGAATTGAATGTCAAATATTTTAAATATTAATATTTACAAATATGGCTTGCGGAATTCAAAAATGTTGGCAAGTGCCTGCATGACGTGAACCTGTAGTACACTATAATTGAATTACTCTTAAAGTCTCTGTGCATTTACATTTTTTGTAAAATATCCAATTTTCCACAGTAAAATTTACTTAAACTGATTATTTAACATTTAATTTAAAAAAACAAAATCAAAATATGCCAGCTTGGAATCATTAGATTTAAAAAGAGGCCCACCAAAAGACTTATAAATGTTATAAACGAAATGTAGATTGTTTCAGTTCATACTCTAACTGAAATAGAATTCAACAGTTTTTTTTAATACATTTTTATGGCTTACATAATAAAAAAGATTAATTGGATTCCCATTGTTGAAATAATTTTGTATGCATCAAGTGATAATATCTAATAAAACCAGTTAACTGTAAACTTGATGATATCTTTATATAATTATACTGTACAATTGTTATTTTGCAATCTCATTTGAATAATAATTTTTTCGATGACATATTTGTAATGTTTGTTGGATGTACATAATTGTTACATATTAATTGTAAAATATTACATAGATAACCGTTCAAGACATAGTGCATCGATCAGAAAGGAGTGAAACTGGCTCATGGAGAATAGAATCGAGTATGTCCTTGATAATTTAAATGTACATACATGTACTCAACAGAAATAATTGCATCTTTGTAACAATCATGGTGTTGAGTGGACATTAAACTCCATTTCTCTCTCTCTCACCCTTTCCATTGATCAGAACGGGGGAAAACTGTTCGGATATGGCAGGCTTTGAATGAAAGGCACAAACAGTCAGTTTTGAAGTATCTATCTGCAGAGAGGGGTGACGGTGACGGTGGGGGGGGGGGGGTCTACATCATGCCACTGAAACTAATTACTATGTGTGGTATTTTCATTAAATGTTTCAAGCAATTTCAAAATATGTTGACCAAGGTTGTGTGATAACTCAGTGATTAGTACTTCTACACAGTCTGTTCCTGCGGGGTTTCAAACACAAAGCCTAAAACACAAAACTTTTCTCGATCAATTGGTCTCTTTTGATCTAAAATTGGTTACAGATTAAAATTTGAGATTCCCGGATTTATGCACTGATCTTTCTTCTTCAAATTCATGAATAATCTTCAAAACCTTCCATAAAAGTCAACACAAATTGCAATGGAAAGGTCAGAAGAAGAGAAAATGAGAGAATAGTCATAAGTAACTAACAACATATACATTACCGGTCTTAATCTGTAACACAAATTATACGATGGCTTATGATAATAATATGTAGGAATAAGAATTTTTTCCTTCTTTGTTTCTAATTATGGTCAGAAAATATAATAATCTTTATTAAAACGTCATCAGTTTTCTTTTTAGATGTTGATTATGTCTGGGTCTATCTATAGTATAGGTCTAACTTATTTCTATTCTACCTCTTAAAATTGTTTACCAAGAATTTTACTGTTGTCAGACTATGTTGTTGGTCTAGATCTGATATGACACTTCTTTTATATGTCTTTTGATGCCAGATTATTCAGATTTTATAGTTTTCATCCCATAATAACCATCTTTTATTTTATTTTTCATCTTTCTAGAACATGTGGTTATTTATGTTTCCCAATCAATCCCAGCTACCCTTTTATCAACAATGTGAATGCCTGGTGTCCAAGGAATGACTGAAGGGGAGGAGCTATACTCCCATTATCCATGTTTGTAATCAATTCACAAAATTTATCCTTAATCGAAATGCTGCCATTTTGCCCCCTTTAATGATGTTTTAATGATTAAGGTTTAAGATAATAACACACAGCGGTGCCAGAAAAACTTATCCCTTCATAAAACTTTCTTGGTATCAAAATTTTGTTTACAGAAAACTCTTTTATAATTAATTACAGGTTGGTGAATTTGGGCCCAAATTTTCTTGTTTTGTATTGAAATTTTGTACCACCGGATGAATTCATTTTCTGTCATGAAACCAGGAATCTAGAATTTTAATTAGACTCAGTAAGGAATCCCATGTGTCTATCAATCATTACATCAAAAGAGACTAATTGATTGAGAAATCGGTTTGTGTTTTTTCTTTGAAACCAACCAGTCTATTTCCATTGGGGATATGGAGAAAGTTTAGACCTACAGACAGAGCTTTTGGTGTAGGTTTTCATAAACCTTCTGCATTTCCCTAACACGAACTATTACATGCTGCTACATGTATGTTTAATAATGATAATGTAAGTGAGGGACAGTTCTTTGAATCTAGTCAAGTCCTTTTAATCATGTAATATGTTTAAAGTTTGAGTCTGTGCCTATGTATACTCCTCAATAAAGGTTGCTTAGAAATCAGTTCATGATGTATGTACAGTTAATAAGGTTAAAGGTTTAATTTATTATGTAATTAGTGTCTAGCATTTAGATTATAATTAGAGATAATTAATGAATACCAACAATGTGTTTTTACTATCCATGGCAAATAACCCATACAGCTGTTCCTTGAAGTCAAAATAAGGCTTACCCACAGTGGGAGGGGAAAATCTGAGTGGATTCGAATCCAAAAAATATCACATCAGTCTCGGTGATTTATTTTTTTAACATTAAAGGTGTTTTAGTCAATAAAAATGTCAGATTTACAATAACCCAGATCATACAGTTTCCACTGGTAATTAGTGAATGTGGTAGTTCAGAAAACTTTAAAAATTAAACAAAACAGATGGGTTATTTTCTTGGGTCATTCGGAATTGTCAATTTTCTTGATAAGACATAAACATTTAACTACTAGTATTTTTGTCTGTAGAGCTTTACCGCAACTCATCAATAAGATATGAATATTTTTACATGCACCTGAATTTAAATCTCACAAAATAAAGTCAATATTTCTCATTGGTAACTATTTATAATTTAAATATGAAACTGTCATTTTCAATTAGGACATAACAGACTGATTGTTTGTCTAATCAGTGGTCTAAATATCTCTTTCAGACAACATAAATCACTTAATGTCACTCTCCCCAATAATAATATTTATACTAAATATGAAAACATCAATTTCAATCAAGACAAAACTGCCTAATGCTAATTGTCTTACCAACATGTAATACTGCTATCAGAATCAGACAGCATTTCATACTTCCCAAGAATAATATTGATAACTAAACTATGTATTATTCTTAACAGAATATTATACATTATACATGTAATTTGTCTTATATAATCATCATTATAAAGTTATTAAACAAATAATCTGTTATCTTTTCTCTCCTAATCACCTTATTCATAAATAATAATCTGCATTTCTCCACAACACAAGGCTAAAAGGATCTTTTTTTTTTTCATTATTAAACTCAAGGAACTAAACAAACAATCAAAAATCACGCATTTATTTGCTTTGACAAAACAAAATTAAGGAATAAATATGTACATTATTATTTGTCACTGCCCTTTATAAAATAATTCATATTCATTTTAATCAACAAATTTCATTCATTGACATGACTGACTTTTCATAAAATGCTCATTTTGTATACTACATGCTTAACATTGCTCTATATTTCCCACTTAAAGAAAACTAGTGGGGTTGCAGCGGAATGAGTGCAAGCCAAGAGACTGATGTGAAGAGGTGCTATTTTTCCTCACGGAATCTATCCTATAATACCAGTTAATTAATAATTATGCCCTCCCTTGTTTTGTTTTAGATTCATATCAGTGTCAATATAAAATTTCTGCTTGTTATAACATACATATTTTTGGTACATTATTAAATATATTTTGCTATAATTTCTTCCCAAATAATGCATTTGGGCAAAATTTAGTATAACTGGCCAACAATATGATTACTTGTTTTGAGGTAAATAAAGTTTCTTTGCCCCAACCAAGGTGCATTCCTTAGTTAGGTTCCGAATTAGTTTGATGTAAAGTTATGATTGGCCTTGGCAAATTATGATAGGTCGAGGCATACGTACCACCTCATTTGTTCTCTGTGTGGACAAAAGAGATGGAAGGGGAGGGGCAAAACAAGATATCAGGGCCAGGATATCGTTTCAGGAGACTTGAAGAGCATGTGTAAAGAGAATTTGTAAGTAAGAATTTGTCTGCGGCCAAAGTTTGTCTGGCATGGGAACAAGATAGAAATGCAGTCCACCCTCACCTCCCGAGAACCCTTGCCTTACCACTGAATTCAATATTACATAAAATTGTCTTGCCTTTTAAAAAATTAACTTTAAGACAATGTTGGAATAGTCATGGGGGCAACAATGTAGGATTGAATAGAAACAAATCTGAATGGCTGTAAACTTACAGTATAAATAACCAGTTATAACTCAGAACCACGTGTCGGGTACCCAAGGGATAGTTTTTGGATCTTGACAAATTACCCAAAGTATGGGTAGCGATCCAGTAATTGTGTGAAAGAAACTAAAACATTCGGTTATATCCGATTACAGTCGAATAACTTTCTGTGTTTCAAAGGGTATAATAGGCTCGGGGTCATTAACTAAAATAGAAATAAGCAAAATACCTTCATTCTATCTTCGCGCGTCTGGTTTTCCGCGTCCGTGGAATCTACGGCCACACAGCACTTTCCTTTACCGGTAGTCGAATCTGGAACGTTTGCGGATAATTCCGTATTGTCTGAACGTAAGATATTTCCGTGTGTCGAGTGAAACGTTGAGGTACTGTAAGAAGGGCGGGGTGAATTTGAATCGTCCGATTCACGACAATAAACAACCCCGGTTTGAGAAACATGAATACTTGGTGTACAGCCCATTCCTTTCACTTCAAAAATGTCCCCACAATTTCACTCGCCGATTATAATTCTGTGGACGTTCCGTTCCGAACATTATTATCCATTTTGTAACGGGGCAATGTTTTTCAGATCTTGAAAAAAGAATTTATAAGACGTTTCTAAACACAGAAGCACCATTTCCACGGTTGATCGACCATATTATTCTTATTTATCAAATGATGCTGCCTAGTTGACGACCCACGTTGTTAAATACCTTAACAAACACATCACAGACATCGGTTATTAATTATCCAGACAGTGTTAAGTTAGTGCGCGTGGATCCTTACAGTTCCAGTTCCATAATGAGTCAATAATGACACTAATTAAGTGCTGACCGCGTATGAAATAATAATACCTTCTCTTGATATAGGCTAACGGCCCACGACCTTTCTTTAGATACCTTTACACCTAGCCTATGTCCAAATAGCAATTTCGGTTCACAAAATATCCAACAAGCACGCCGCCTGGCATTAAAGGCCGATGTAATAATATATCTTACGTATGGAGAGAGCTGGTTAAATTTTCTACTATTATTCCATCATAGGAATTCGTCTGCCAACAGCTGGTATAGGCTAACACCGCACTGAGTATTCACATCCAATACAGCCATGTCAATCACCGACTCCTTTAACAACCCAATTCAATAAAAGCCGACGAGATTAGAAAGAAACGATGATAAGACATCGCGTGTCAAGGTTGACAAAGGAATAGAAGATTGTTAAATGCAGTGGTTTACATCGGAACCGAATGACTTGACTGATGTCAACACTATAGAATTCTCTTCCACCAATCCTGCTGTTCCACAGATCACGTGATCCACTTCAATGACGTCAAACGATCCCCGGTAAATATGATATTTGAGGCGCTGTGTGGTATAATTTTATGATAATACAACTCGAACCATGTTTATGTACACTAAATTACTACTCTGCAAAGCTAATCGATCGCGCTACTGTCAGAATGGTCGTGAATTATAGCCAACCAAGCTAGAAACCGTGAACGGTATAATAATTCACCTAGCGAGTGCCTCGAGTGATAATGAGCCCGAATTGAAAGAATCGTGTCATATTGGGTATATAATCAATGCAAAGCGCGAGCGCCGAGTAGCCAGTTCTCTCATGAGCGCTCTCGACAATTATCGCGTGTCGCAACAAAAATTCAGTTGGTGGCACCTCGTGCATGAAACAACGGGGTCTGATTTGTAGACCTATATACCCCAAACAATCGATAAGAGATATAAAATATTCCGCTTGGTTCCCAAAGAAATTACGCGAATCGTCTATCAATATGAAGCTATACTGACAGATCTTGGACAGACTCAGGCAGACACCGTTTCCTAAATAGGCTTTTAAATACTCGCATTTGGCACTTAAAAGTATAAAAATAGACGTGGACGAAAAAGAAAAAATCTTTTAGCCATTCGTCGCGCAAAAGATAATACGCGTAAAAAATTACCTTACGCGTATTAAAAATACAAAAATAAACTTAAATAGCCTATTTGTCTTTTAAAATCGATAAAAAAAAAGAAATCTGTTGACAGACTCACAATTAATTATAAACTGGGTTTTAAGACCTTGATTAAACAAAAATAGACATTACATTTAAATCATCATTGTTTATTTTTATCTATGTATTTAAAACTTAACTAATAGCAAGTGCAGGGACATTGCATTACACACACACACTAAAATCCAAAAGACAGACCTGCGGACAAGACACACAAGTTACATAGACATTGCAAGCAATAAACAACAAACACGTATTATATATCAGTAACATTTCATTTCATCTCATTTCGTGTTGTGTATATAAAATCAAGCGTAAGCTTTCATTGCGCTGTTAGGTCGATAATCCGGATATAATTTGGGAAAACGCTATCGAAAGGTAAAAGTTGCTGAAATATCAAAACTCGGATATCAAAGTATTGGTGTTCGTTTTAATACCTTACTCTGAACTGTCGATCTCTAGTTAGTCCCTATAGACTAAAATGCTTTAAATTAGAATTCACTTATTTGCTTTCTGGGCGGATCCAGGAATTATTGCAGGAGGGGGTTGCCAGGTTCCTGAGACAATGTATCTTTGGGAGATTGAGGGGCGGGGTGGGGTGGGGGGCTTGAATTTTTTTGTTTTGGCGTATATACAATACACACTGAACTTTTTAAAGAGAGAAATCCAACACCTCGTTATTGACGTCAGTTTTTATTATGAATTAAATTGAAGGAAAATCTTGAATCAGAGATAACAGAAAAACCATTTACAATAAGCCTGAAATATTATCTAAATTATTAATTAGACATTGATTAACTTATCCAGACCATAATCAACTCTCGATGACATCGCTAGGCTGCGATGTTTATTGGATTAGGTTCCGTTTTTCTGTTGGACTTCCATTTATAATTAAATCATGAAATGATTAATCGAGACTATGTTTTTTTTTATCCTACCGACTTTAGTAATGAGGGGAGCCACGGTGGCTAGGTGGTTAAGACGCTGGCTCGCTAGCCTGGAGGTCGGGTTTTCGATCCCTGCATTGGCCGAGAAAGTTCATCTGGATTTTCCGACGTGGTTTCCCCTTGTCAGTGGTGCAGAACGGAGGGCCTGACAAGGACAGCTGTCTAGTCATTCGGATGAGACGAAAAACCGAGGTCCCGTGTATACATTAGAATGCACGTAAAAGATCCCTTGGCAGTTAGAATTCGATATAAGAGTAGGCGATAGTGCCGCTGCCCGGACAAAATTTCCTTCATAGCACACTGTATGGCGTATGCCCGTCTTCATTAGCCCAGTTATAGGAGCAGAACAGTAGGACGTTAAACCCCATTTCATTTCATTTCTTTAGTAATGATGATCGAGGCTAGGCCGAAATTCAATCGCTAAAATCTCGAGTCATAGTGGATCAATTTGACTGAAAGTTTCAGCAAATTCCCTTTACAGTATCTAGTTTTTAACTATGATTAGATTAAACAATTCAAGTCAACATATATATTATAGAGAGAACTGCCAGCTCTTTATCTAACCTCTCATAATTTTTCTTTAATGAAATACTTTCCACGTCAATATACCCCGATTCTTGGAGGAAAACATATATTACTTCACTACATATAAAGGTGACAAATCTGATCCCAATAATTAAACTTTTTGATTCTCTGGTCAATACTAGGTTAAAAACTTTAATAAAGAGTTAGCTCTCCAATTTCCAGTTTGGTTTTAGAGAAAACCAACGAACATCAGATAATTTACTTATATTAAAAACACTAGTCTCAAAATACGTCAAAGATAAACAGGATAAAATATATGTAGCATTTGTTGATTTCCGTAAAGCGTTTGATTCTGTATGGAGACAATTAAGCTCTTCTCCTCAAGTTAGCAAAAATAGGTATTGGAAAAAGGTGCTTCAATATAATCCAACAGTGAAAATAGGAGATCAGCTAAGCAGAGATTTTCAGATAGATACAGGTGTTAGACAGGGAGACTGTTTGAGTCCAACCTTGTTCAACATATTTATTGATGATATAAACGAGGTTTTCAATGAAGAATGTAAATCAGTAGTATTAAATAATACATCATTCAACAGTATAATGTTTGCTGATGATATCGTTTCGATCTCGAAAACTATATAAAGACTGCCTGCAAACATGTCTAGAAATATTAGAAAATTATTCTAATGAGTGGAGACTAACTATAAATACAAATAAACAAAAACTATGTGCCTAATAACTCCCATAATTTTATGTATAATGGAAAATATTTAGAAAACGTTTATGAATTCAATTATCTTGGAACACTCATATCAAACACTGGCTCCTGTTTAGCTGCCATGGATAACTTGACACAGAAAGGAAGTAAGGCATTTAACATTATGATTAACAAATTAACAAAAAAATAAATCCAGATCCGTATCTTGTAAAGAAACATTGTATCTTCCAAATTCCGCCGATCATTACATATAATTCTGGTGGATTGTGGATATGGACGAAAAACAACAGAAAGCTAAAAACAGATGTATATACTTTAAAAGACAAATATTTTGATCATTTTGCTATATATAGATTCAACAATGATAGAAAAACTGAACATTAAAATGTGCAAAATACCTTAGAAACAGGGAGATATTTCAAATTGGACGTAAACGATCGTTTGTGTAATATATATATTATGTCAGGAGGTAGAAGACAAATTGATAGCAAATTGCAAAAGACATGAAAAAAAAAAGAAAGAACTGTTCAGATCAATTTTATTTCTGATAAACTGATTGATTTACAACAATTTAAAATACTGATGATGAATAAAAATGCAGAAATTTTAAAATATTTAGGAGCTTTTGTATACAATTCGTTCATGCCTTTGTAAAGTTGTGTATCTTTGTATAATTATGTCCATGTTTTATCCTTTGTTTGTTTCATGTATAATGTTTCTTCTTCTATTAATACGATCACATTGTGATTTAATTTCATTGATGCAAAGCACTGATTATGATATCACATCTATATCATTATCTCGCTCTTTGAATGCCCATCCCATCCTACCATCTAAAGATAATGGATAAAGCACAGGACCGTGACACTTTTCTCAAAAAGTGTTGTTTTGCACCCCCATGGCAAAATGTTACATATACAACCACATAAACAGAACCATTTCAAGTATCGAAATTTGGCGGGAAAACTGCATACCACTGCTCTAACCTAGGACATTTGATGTTCTATTCAGTAGGATGGAAATTTAAAATATACCCCTTCCCTTCCTGTCGCCTCGGTTATACAGATTTACAAAAAGTAGAGTATAAATCCAAGCTTTGTTCTTACCTTCATCCCACCGCACAGAATATTACAGAATTAATCAATTCATTCCGGTCTGAGTATTTCGCTTCTAAATCCCCTCCCTCGGCTATGTATGTAGGGCGTCTAAAACCCCTTTCTTGTAATTCACAATTATATAGACACAAATACACTAATTTGTCTCCTTTTCCCTCGATTTATTCCTTCTAAAGAGACTCGATAAGTGATGGTAGGCGGCAATCTGAACCCTCAAATCCGACAAAAGATGACGTCATCAACAACACCAAATCAGACAACGATTTTGTTAATGGTTCAATTTATGTCTAGTTCAGCAAATTATCGACACCTGCAAACAGCTAAACACTAATTAGTAGCTGATGAATTCTTCAATGGAATAAAGTCACCTGACGTCATAAACAAAACCTTTCTAATCTTGTGTAATGTGTATGTTTCAATCGATGTTTGGATTATTGCCGTTCATGATGACTGGCCCACACACATTGCGTGTTGTTAAATGGGTGTTATATATCTGTATGCAAATTACAAACAAAAGACCTGAAATGATCGAGAGGGACTTTTCGTTTAAGTCTGTTGGAATTGCGTTTATTTTTGCTTTTTTAAAAGTTTTATGAGTGAGCTTATTGTGACTTTGCTTAATCAATAATTTTTATTAACATGTTAACCCTTTAACGTAAAATAAAGGGTTTCCGATAGTGATCCTCCTATTTATTCTCAATTCAAAGTGCCTTTTGACATTGGAAATTCCTCATACTAAATTTACGCTGTACACAATCAGCTCCGCTTTAGAACAGACAATTCTGTGTAGAATGGGAATTCCGCTCTGACCATGTCCCGTCACATCGTATACGTCATACATCTCATAAGTCAAAACTATATATAGGTGCTATTTTAAAGATACATTATGGGGGATTAGATAAAGAGCTGACAGTTCTCACTATATAGAATAATAGTTAAAAACTAGATAATGTAA